ACACTAGTTTGGAATAAAAAGTTTGACAGAAAATTGTTATCTGATCTCAAAATGAGTAGTTTTCACTGGAAAAACCCAGCAAGCACCAGGAAATTGAAAATTACAAGCTTTGCTTGCAATCGCGTCGCACATGGATACTTTATGATTTCTAGCTGGCTGAAAAACTGTGTCGATCGATGAACAGCCATTTGGTCTCGATTCACCCAAAAGATGAGGATGATGTCATTTCCGGTAGGGATTAATGTCAAATAAAGTACAATATTTTAGACTTGAACACTTGAAACGTCAAGAACATCTCGATCACTGTCCGTATCCTTCCAACTTTCAGCTTCCATGGATCTGTTTAGATCGAGTCGGAAGTGTTGGGAATGGAAAGTGGAATGATGGATCGCCAGTTGATTAACCTTAATGCTTAGCTTTAAAACTTCAGCCAATTGAGCCCCGGCCAACGGCAAAACCAGCCAGATTTTCAACGAAGAGCTAGGATCACTTTTTGAACGATCTCGACAATTTTGTGACTTTCGGCATTCAAAAGCAAGAACAACAAGAAGCTACTAATTTCATAAATTAAGTTTCCAAAATTTTTCTAATTTTGCCAAGAAAACCTTATTTTTGGGTTTACAAGTTTATTTATAACGAAAAGTAAGATAGATAGATACTTTATTCATTTGACTCAATAACCGAGAAATTCTTATGTTTTAGACAGAATACATGAGAAGTACAGTAAAAAAACAGGAATAATAAACAATATAATGCCAGCAAAACATAGCAATAAAACATCAATGATCGATCATTTCATCAGGCCTGATGTAGAAGGCGAAAAAATAACCCGTGCACAACATGTAGATGCAATCTCTCGTCGCATTGATACTCCGTAGGAAACACGGAGTTTTCATCTCCAAAATGCGATCATCGTTTAGCCAATAAAAATTATCGTTTGCCAATGCAATGAATGGCTGACGATTTTTCCTACTGATGTTTTTCATTCCTGGATATCCCGTAAGAAAAGCAAAGGTTTCGGCCTTCATATCGCGGGTCAATCTGCCGTAAACTGCAGCAGAAGCTTCGGGGTTTTTGCTCGGAATACCGTGGTTGACAATCCATTGAATGGCTTCCGCCGAGGTGAAACTTCCGCGGCCAATAAATACAACCTGCTTGATGTGGGTCTTTATCGAAGCCTTGTAGTAAAAGTGGAAATAATCATCATTGTAACATTTAAGGTCGACCATCTCACATTCGTTGAGTTGAGTCTCGATGAAATGCTCAACAGGACCATGTTTCGATAGAGCTCCTGCGGGAAAGTTGATGTCAAGACGCGCGTATTCCTTGATTGACATATGAAAAAACAACACAAAGTTCGGAGACGTCCGGTCAGTCATCACGAGTTGATTCACTGCCTCTAATTGTTTCTGAAATGTTGTGTATTCTTTGCTAGGTCGGTCGTGAAATTTGCCCACGTCCAATCTGTCGCACGAGTGAATGTTTTTGATGAAAGGAAAATGACGAACGACATCCAGATTGATCCTAGATGAAAGCCAATTCAGCTTCCGGATCTCAATTGCTTCAATTTCGTGTCGATGCCAAGGAAAGCAAATCATCTCCACGTGATGTCCAAAAACGATCGATGGTCGATTCGAAATCATCCCTTGAAATCCTTGATTAACTTTCACCAATTCAATCACATCTCCTGCATCCAATTGCTCCAAAATCTCCAACTTCAGATCGAAGCAAAGACGTTCGATTGGAAAGGTTGTCAGCTTTCGCACCTCGGATGGCATCTTGATTGGCGCCTTTCTACCTGTAAATAAAAAGAATTAGTCTTTATAAGGAGCAGCTCAATGCAATGGGTCACTTTTGGCATTTTAGTAGCAAAAGCTTGTTTTCTAAAGCGTGAATGATGAATTTCCAATAAAAGATTTGTTGAAATGCTAAAAGTGACCCATTGCACGGTCTAGCACCGAAAAAGATAGAAAATGGAAGAAATAGAAATCGAAACATGGTCCTGAAAAACAAAATCATTTGTTCTAGTTGAATTTTAACAGAATCCCAAGTCTATCTTTTACATTATTGGGTGAAATTTGGCACGGTTTGCTATAAAAATGTCAAAAATAGCACAAAACAGTGAAATCTAGACAAACTCATGTAAAAAAGTTAATATTTTAATCAAAGTGCTTTAAAATGGGGTCTAGCGCGTAAAATATGATTTGTCAAATTCAAATCATTTCACATTAAGAAACGACTTTTAGCTACTGGAAGATTTAAACGTTTTAAAGCTTTGATAAGATGAAATTTTATATGAAAAATTTCTCCAAACTTTTAAATATTTAGCTTATTGATTGTAAGGTTTTTATAATCACAAAAGGGAGCACCTATCTATCGGGGCCGTGTGCCAAATGGAAAGCGATTACGCGGCCGCTCAAAATAGACCTCGGCGGATGTCAAAAATCAAGTCAAGAAATCCTTCCGCTTGTGCTCGGCTAGAGAGCAAATTTCACGATTTGAAATTTGACAAAAATGACGGCTACAGAGCAAATTTGGAGAAATTTTTCATTTATAAAATTTCATCTTCTCAAAGCTTTAAAACGTTTAAATCTTCCAGGTCTAGAATTGTCTAGAATTTACCATTTCTTTTAGCTAAAAGTCGTTTCTTTCAAAACGTGATAGTAATTAGGGGAAAACTTGTGCACAAAGTACTTTTGTTTAGAAATATAAAGTGGATATTCGTGAAGAAAATAAGATGGCTTTTTCATTTCTTCGGCAAACGTCGGGGATTCTCGTTTCTGCCAGAAAAGATTTTTTTTTGTTTTTTGGACCGTAGATCAATTGAAGAGCGGGTTTTCGGGAGCAATTTCAAAAAGATTCAGGTGAAGTTCTCCGATATGTCCATGACAAAGCTCGGCTTTGCTTTTTCGATTCCAAAGCTTTCAATACATTCCATAACGGCTCGGCGAACTTTTGAATCTCTGCGCTGTCAATATTCAACTCCAATTTCTCAAAGTGGTCCAATTTTGAGATCAGATTCAAAATATTTGCTGTCCCGAACTCAAAATCCAACCCGAGTTCTCGGAAATGAAGTTTATTCCAAAATTTTCCGAATTTCCGCCAACTTTCTATCGGAAAGTCTTCTTGATGCCAGGATTTTATGGAAAGACGAATGGGTTGAAGTTTCGACAAACAATTCAAAAAGATCGTTTGGAAATGAGTGGGCAAATCCGGAAGGTAAAAACTTTTCAGGGTTTTTCTCGGGGTCGGCGTAAAGGTGAAATGATATTTTATTTCCCTCAAATTTGAGAAGAATGGAAGTTAAAGGAACGAGGGAAATTCGCCAGATGATCTCGATTTCGAGAACGGGTTTTGTTTTGAAAAGATCGCTGGAAAGTATTCCGTTAGTTTGACACTCGAGACTTTTGATTCTCCGCGGAAAAAGGCGATTCTTGAGATTCCATCTTCGAATTTCTCTGTTGATTTTTAACATAGCCGGCTTGAATTCCAAATAGTTGAAGATTTCCTGGCGAAGTTGGACAGGTAGAGATGAGATTTGAAATTTTGAAGGCATTTGGCGAATGATATTTTGGTGAGCATTAGTAAAATCTCGGATTTTAGGGTCTTTTGATTCAAAAAAGGTAAACAATTACGAAAAATGTGGGAAAAAGTGGGGAAAATCTGGCTGATTTTGCCGTTGGCCGGGGCTCAATTGGCTGAAGTTTTAAAGCTAAGCATTAAGGTTAATCAACTGCCTTTTTACAGAGTTTTACAGAAATAACCCAAACACTTTGGGTTATTAGTAGTACCTTGTTTGCTCATTATAAAGCCATTCTTGGGGGCAGAATTGAAACCTCGGAGTTGTTGTAGTAGTATTAGTAGTAGTAGTATTAATAGTAGTAGTAGTTGTTGTTGTTGTTGTTGTTGTCAGTGATATTGTACTTTTTGTCAGTGAAATAATGCATTTATGGCTTCATCACGGTAAAACATGAGTACATATGAGTTAAACACGCCGCCCAAAAAACATCTACACAAGTAGGATTATCCCCACACCAAAATTTACATTTATCTTATTTGTATAATACACCTGTGTCTTCATCCATTCATGGTTGGCATCTTTCCAAATTGCAAATTGGAAAATTATGATCGGTAAGTGATGTAAAGTTTGAAAGAACTCATTCACGACAATATTTTCTAATATTTGGATCAACTACTGGATTTTGTCTATTCTGGAAACTATGTGCCAATTTTTATAGAGTTTTATAAGCGGGGATCATTGAAGAATGGTTTTTAAAAGTTCTTTTTGGGGAAATTATAACAATTTAATTTTTAATGATTTTAATTTCAAATTTCTGGGATTCACCCCTCAACTATTCCGTGGCAACGACCGTCCAATGGACCGAGGAATTTTTGGGCTTTGGTGTATCTCAAAGCACAAAATATTATCCACCGGAACAAGAAAATTTTCAAATTTTCAAATGTTTCATAAAAATTAATACCCCAAGTAAACCAATCGGGAACAAAAATCAAACATTGCGTTTATTGGCTTCAGTTTGAATGCAACCAATGCATTGACTAGTTCTTTTAGACTATTTTCTGTCCAAAACTGCTAGTTAAGATATAAAATAGTCATATTGAAGAGTCTTTAGCATATTTGTGACAAAGGACGAAGAACTTTCTGCACAAAATCGGAGATATCAGAGTTATCAAAAGGATTCCCTGAAATGAAATCGTACGCGTTCATTTTATTGGCACAAGAGCTTACATAGCACCCGAAATTCTGAAATTGGAACATTCAGATGGAATGAATTTCCGAAACGCAGAATTGAAATGAAACGCAGAATTTTATGCTGATTACGAATCCGCATTCCGTTTTTGTAGAATGGCCTTCTGTAAAAAGTTACGCGCGTTTTAATTTTTAGTGGGATTACATTGATTACAGGTTGAGTTGATTCTATAAATTTACTCTAAATACTTCAAAAATACTTCAAAATATGAATATTCAAATAATTTTATAAATGAAAGGATTTCTTGGATCAGAAGGATTTCTTGACTTGATTTTTGACATCCGCCGAGGTCTTTTTTGAGTGGCCGTGTAATCGCTCTCCATTTGGCACACGGTCCCGATAGACAGGTGCTCCCTTTGACGGCTATTTTTCATTTATAAAATTTCATCTTCTCCAAACTTTAAAACGTTTAAATCTTCCAGTGCTAGAATTGTCTAGAATTTCCCATTTTTCTTTAGCTAAAAGCCGTTTCTTAATGTGAAATGATTTGAGTTTAACAAATCATTTCACAATTTTAAAGCACTTTGCCTGTTTAAAATATTAACTTTTTTTACATGAGTTTTACTCGATTTCACTGTTTTGTGCTATTTTTGACATTTTTATAGCAAACCGTGCCAAATTTCACCCCATAATGTAAAAGATTCATGAATTTGTCTAGATTTCAATGTTTTGAGCTATCTTTAACATCGATTCGCGATTCGCAAAATCGTAATCGTATTTTTCATTTATAAAATTTCATCTTCTCAAAGCTTTAAGACGTTTCTTTCATTTTCTATCTTTTTCGGTACTAGACCCGTGCAATGGGTCACTTTTAGCATTTCAACAAATCTTTTATGGGAAATTCATCATTCACGCTTTAGAAAACAAGCTTTTGCTACTAAAATGCTGAAAGTGACCCATTGCATTGAGCTGCCCCTTACAAAGACTAATTCTTTTTATTTACAGGTAGAAAGGCGCCAATCAAGATGCCATTCGAGGTGCGAAACTGACAACCTTTCCAAGCGAACGTCTTTGCTTCGATCTGGAGATTTTGGAGCATTTGCAGAAGATGTGATTGAATTGGTGAAAGTCAATCAAGGATTTCAATGGATGATTTCGAATCGACCATCGATTGTTTTTCGACATCACGTGGAGGCGATTCGCTTTCCTTGGCGTCGACACGAAATTGAAGCAATTGAGATCCAGAAGCTGAATGGGCTTTCATCTAGGATCAATCTGGATGTCGTTCGTCATTTTCCTTTCATCAAAAACATTCACTCGTGCGACAAATTGGACGTGTGCAAATTTCACGACCGACCTAGCAAGGAATACACAACATTTCAGAAACAATTAGAGGCAGTGAATGAGCTCAAGTTAATTCACCGCACGTCTCCGAACTTTGTGTTTTTTTTCATATGTCAATCAAGGAATTCGCGCATCTTGACATCATCTTCCCCGCAGGAGCTCTATCGAAACATGGTCCTGTTGAGCATTTGATTGAGACTCAACTCAACGAATGTGAGACAGTCGACCTTCATTGTGACAGTGATGATTATTTCCACTTTTACTACAAGGCTTCGATAAAGACCCACATCAAGCATGTTGAGTGACCCCGCCTACATTCTCAATCGGAATATCTTTTGCTGTAAGTTTTAGTCAATGGAAAAAACTTTTGGAAAATCTGATTCCTTTTATCAAAAAACATTAGAAGATTTAGCAAAAGAACTGAAATGCTTTTGTTAAAGCATTCTCAAAAACGAAACTCCCTTTCAGAAGAAGAATCAATCGATGTGCTCGTTGATTTGATTGGCATTCTTGACGATGTGCCTCTAGTATAACTTGTTATGATTAATTAACAAAATCATAACAAGTTATATTCAGAGGCACATCGTCGAGAATGCCAATCAAATCAACGACCATATCGATTCATTCTTCAGCTAAGGGTAAGGCCAGATCCCGGTCATAAGCTAGATCCAAGAAGTTTTTGTGAGAGAAACATGCGGTAAAGCCACAAGAAAACTATTTTAATTAACTTATTTTTTCAGATCAAACAGATCAGTTGGAAAGCGGACGAAAGAAGTCACGAAAGTGTTCCAAATTGGAAAGTTTGTTACTTTTTCTCGTTTAGTTTTTTGGTTAAAAGATTGAGCAGTTTGGGTAAGATTTCGACCCATAAATTTGGATTTTTGGAACCGTAATACGTTACTTCAGCCTTGCGAAAACGGGATGTCGACCGATATTTGGAGCATCACGCGGCCGTTCGACTCGGTGATGACGCCGAAGCTCGAGAGTCTTGGAGTACGTTTGAAATTGAGGATTTAAAATTAGGATTAAGAAATCATAGATGTGTTTCAACTTATAATTTCTTCATTCTTTATTTTAGGATTTTCTCCAAAAACACCCCAACAGTGATGGACGGGGAATAAAAATCGCGATTCTGGATACGGGTGTCGATCCGAAGCTCGAAGGAATGCAGGTGATTTCTACAAGTTATTAAGCCGAAAATTTGATGATTCATCAAACAAGATATAAATTTCAATATAAATTGTTTATTCAAATCATCATTTTTAGGTGACGACAACTGGTGAGCCAAAACTCGTGAACATCTTTGATTGTTCGGGTGCTGGAGATGTTGACTGCTCTCATCAAGTTGCGTCAAAAGATGGGATTGACGTTGTTGGATTGACGGGCAGAACCTTGAATGTGAGTGCAACAATTGAAAATTTTTGGAATCATTAAAATTCAAATCAATAGGTGGCAGCAATCAAGAATCTCAACAATCCGTCAGGGAAATTCTATCTGGGGGTCAAGCCGATTCACGAGCTTTACCTGAAAGGGTTGAAAGCAACAATGGATGTAAGTTGTTGATAGAATTAATATTTAAAAGAAAATCTCCATTTATCTATCTTATCACTTCAGAAAGAGCGGCACACTCCAAATTGGGAATCCTCTTCAAATCTGGCGTTGGCAAATGCTCGACGAGCGCTCGAAGAACACGAGGAAGAAATTGGAGGAAAGGCATCGGATCGGGTTAGTAAAAATTGACGTTTATGTTAACTGAAAGTATGATGATTCCTTTTAAAACTTTAGAAAGAGCGTTTGAAACGCGAGGATCTCGCCTGTCGAGTCGATTTCCTCAAAGACAACATCAAAAAAGAGGACAAAGGGCCGGTTGCCGATGTGCTGATGTGGAATGATGGAAAATCTTGGAAGTGAGCTTTAGAATTCGAAACCTTAGATAAATTTTAGATATAGAATTTAGTACCAAAAATTTCCAGGGCTTTGCTTGACATCTTTTCGACGTCTTTTCGTCGTGCTATACATCTTTTCGAGGCAAATTGGGCATGTGTCGGCCGATGGGTCCTTACGGAGAAACCTATGAGTTCACCGAGGGGACTATTGATGGAGGTGAGTTAGAAATTAAGGTATTCCATCGAAATATTGTTTTAGATCAGCTCACTTATGCTTTCAACATCTATCCGGATGAGAAGAAATTGGAGATCGTGACGGCGTGTGGAAGTCACGGATCACATGTCGCATCGATTGCTGCCGCCAACTACCCGAACAATCCGGATTTGAATGGATTGGCTCCAGGTGCAAAGGTGGGTAATCTATTGGGTTGAGTACTAAGTCTTCATTTCATTAACTAAATGCTAATAAAAAATTCTTGCTAATAAAAAAACCTTCAAAATAAAGCTTTTCAGAAACTTTCAAAAGTCATTTGCAAGAGAAATGATTGCGCTATCTAATTAAAAAATCGTATTTTATTTGGTAGCTTGAGACTTAATCAATTAGAAAATGAATTTTGGTGAAAGATTTAGCACTCAACCTAATAGCAATGTTTTTACTTGAACTGGGTTTGGCTCGTTTTACTCTGTTGGCACTGGTATCTTATTCCCCCTACCAGCAGAAAACTCACACTAACGTTCGCGTTTTCCACGTTTTCCACTAACGTTCGCGTTTTCCACGTTTTCCGCGCAATCTAAGCCCCGCTCCTTTTTGCCAATAATAGCTGCGCACAGACGGATAAACGTCTTTTCTGCTTTATGTTTCCTTCTAGTACTTATCCAGAACCGTCTTCCACGTACTGGCAAGTACGTTGCGGATAAGTATTACAGCTTTCAATGAGTTGGAAATAAGACTAGCTATGAACACTTTACAGGTAATCTCAATTTGCATTGGCGATGCTCGTTTGAATGCAACTGAGACGGGAACAGCGTTGACGAGAGCTTTCAAACTTTGCCGAGATCTCGACGTCGATGTGATCAATATGTCATATGGAGAAAGAGTCAATTTTACGGATACTGGGTAAATCCAGAAAAAGAAATCGAAAGTTAAGCCTTACCCTTATTTTAGACGGGTGATTGACGAGTTGAAGAAATTGCTGGAGGGCGGGAAGACGCTTTTCTTCTCTTCCGCTGGCAATAATGGTCCGGCTCTCTCATCGGTTGGATGTCCGGGTGGAACGACTTCTGGAGTCATTGGTAAATTGTAAAATTACATCAGTTACCAGCTCCATGATAGTTTATCCAGTTGCAGGCTGATCAAAGTATTTTCTAGGTGTTGGCGCTTTGCCTCTTCCCAATCAGCTCTCACAACTGTATGGAACGGCGATGAATGTCAACAAGCCGGCACCGTTCTTGTGGTCAAGTTGTGGGCCAAGGTAGGCTTTGATTGACTTAAACGAAATGATGGTAATTATCAGGCTGGCTGGCAAGTCTTGTCCGCTTTTTTAAAGCTTAGTTTTTGAAATGAGTAATGAGCTAGTCGATCTCATTTGTTTTATCAGAAAGTCCTATTATTTATTTTCAAATTGCCCTTTAAGAAATCTTGAAAAGCTCACGTTAGTTAATTTTTTTAAAGGTATAAAGTGGAGCCGTCAAAAACGATAAAACTGAAAGTTTCCATTTGAGCACCTTTTGTCACAGAAACCTATCTTGGTGACAAAAGACAAAAGATAGAGAATGAAAAGTTAGGCAGATCGACAAATTTTCATAACATTTCACCATTCTATGTCTATTGTAAGGATTTTAGGAAAAACAAGAATTCCCGTTCGGATTTGCTTCAAAGCGAACTCAAATTTGCCTAAAAATGAGCTAAATGAAATCGTTAATCTTTCTTATTTAAAGCAAACTACACGTTGATCGGCTAATTATTCATTTATAAGCAAAAATTTCAAAAAGACGGACAAGACTTTCCGGGCAAATCAATATTCAAAACCAACACGGCCATTTTTAGTGCCGATGGTGCTGACGGAGTGTCAATCTATGCTCCGGGAGTCGCGTTTGCTGAGGTGCCCAAATACACTCGGAAGTGCAATCAATTAATGAATGGGACAAGTATGCGCTCACCGAATGCTGCTGGAGCTGTGGCTTGTCTGCTATCAAAATTGAAAGAAGACAAGCAGAACTATTCTCCGTACGAGATTCGATTCGCTCTTGAACAATGAGCGGCACCATTGAATGGATGTTTGGCTGGGATGTTGAAGGTTTGTAGCTCATACTGATAACTTAAGTACATAGTCTAGTAAAGTACTTGTAGGCACAACTAATATAAGTTTCTTTAGATCTCTGATGCCTACGATTTCCTGTCGAACTTCGAGGCCAAGAAGTTGAACCTGTTCGATGTGAAGGTGAGTAAGGCTTCTTTCCAAAAACTGCTAACATAAGATTAGAATTCTAGTTGTTTTTCCTTTTACAAGTTCAGCTTCAGTTTTAAGTTCTCCTTCAGGTGTCTTGCCGACGTTGGGGAGTCCCGGGTTCATTCCGCGGGATATATCTCGGTGATCTTGCCGATTTCTCAAACGGTCCTCTCAAATATGCAATAACTGTCGAGCCACTTTTCCCAAAAACAGCCAGTAAGTTGTTAGTCACATTGATTGGACTACATGAAATGAACAAATGAAAGTATTTTTTGTCTAGATGTCATCGAGAAAACAAACTTTCTTGAACGCTTAACCTTGGAACGAATCGGCGGGGATGAATCAGTGCCACATTGCAGCAAAGCCATTTCATGGCAGGTAGGAATTCGGCTAATTTAAAGACATTTTGTATAAATCATGGCAGTTAATTGAAGTTTTAATAGAGAATTTAAGAGGACCTTCTAAGAGTCTATCAATAAGCGATAAAAGATAAATTGTAATTGTAAATCTTATTATTAAAACATTTCGTCTCTTTACCTTTTTTCCAAAATTAACATTTCTTCCTACCCAAATTAGCATTTACCCCTACCCAAATTAGCATTTATTCCTGTCTTAATAAGTCGCCAAAGCAAATCTTTAATCATTTTTCAATGTTGCCTCGCCTATTGCTCTTGCTGAAGTGGCTCTGTTGCCGACAGGCCGTGCCAGGTTTATTACTTTTTTCCTTGATTTAATTTTATTGTTTTTTTTTGGCAATAATTGATTGCATTACTTTGAGTTTCGCAAATCTTTTGCTGAAATGCATCTTTTTCGATCAGTCTTCGAATTATTGTTTTTCGGTTTGAAAAACTAGTTTTCAAACGCTATGTTTAAAGCATAGGTTTTTTGGACATGGACTAATATGGAGGTCATTGTCGTGTTCTTAATTTTGGTTTCTTGCGAAGGGTTATTAACTTATTTTTTCAGATCAAACAGATCAGTTGGAAAAAGGACGAAAGAAGGCACGAAAATGTTCGAAGTTGGAAGGTTTGTTACTCTTTCTCGTTTAGTTTTATTGTTCTATTTGGTAACCGTTATTTTTGCTACTTATAGTTCCGCGAAGTGGAAGCGTAACCTACTACCCAGGAGGACGAGGACGTGGATACCGAGGAGGAAGAGGACACGCAAATCGAGGAAACAAACAGCCACCAAAAGCAAAATCTCGTCCTTATGCTCAGGTAACTTTTTATTTAATAGCTAAATTTCTGAGATTTTATAAATATCACGTACTTGTAGGTGATAAAAATTCATCATATCTGTAGAAAAGAGTTGAAATTGAAACTTCAAACGTTGACCCTTTACTCTTTAAATTAGTAAATTTAAGTATACAAATGTTTGCAAATTTAGTTACATGAACATCAGCAACTTCTCCAATTCGAAGGTGACCACGTGTGATATCAATCAAGCAGAAGCGTATGCAGCGACAGTTGCTTTGCATTACTTGTTTCCAATGCACAGGTGAACATTATTTTTTGATAAGCCTAGCCAATTTTGTGTTTAAAAACTATTTTGATCATTCAGAGACAAATCGATCGATCTAAAGACGGACAATCAGGTCCTCGTGAAAGGAGTGAAGGAGGCAATCAAGAAAGAACACACCAATTCCACTCACTACTCCCAGTTTGTTTTGACCTTTGTCTATCTTTATATCTTACGTTTAGTTACGCCAACTTAGTACACGTTGCGAAGCTTTTTCAAGGAGGTGTCTCAATCGGATGGATCCCCAGGGAACAGAACAAGAAGGTAATACTTTTAAAAATGTTATTTATATTTAGTTTCTGTTTAATTTGATTGATTTGGGAAGTTTAGGCAGATGCGCTTGCTAGAAAGGGAAGCGGCGTGAAGAGATCTCGGTCAAAACCGTCAAAGTCCAAATCGACAACATCCCAGGCCTCAAAGGAGAATCCCGCGGTGATTCAATGTATGTTTTTAATTTATTTTCAGTAAAGATTTCTGTAGTGATCTTAACAATAACCATTTTTGTTTTAAGACGATGCTGCCGCAGATGTCGAAGACGAAATCGCCTACCCGTTTAATACTCCTTTGATTGCACATCTTCTCGATAAATCTCAAAAACAAGCACTCGAAGATTGTATCACTTTCGCTTAAATCATTGGAATAAAATTTTAGCATTCAAATTTAAAAGCACAGCATTTCACTTATTTTCTAAATTCATTTTGTATAAATCAATTAGTAAATCAAGGCGGAAAACTGAAACATTGAAACAACCTTTTTTTAGCAGAATTCACTGATTATCTACTTGACTTTAATCTTTATCCGAGGAATGACTCTTTGTTCAAATTTCTATAGTAATTCACTAGAATACATGTTTTAGACAGCATACATGAGAAGTACATTAAAGAAACAGAAAAGATCAAAACATAGGAATAAAACATCAATCATCGATCATTTCATCAGGCCTGATGTAGAAGGCGAAAAAATAACCCCTGGACAACATGTAGATGCAATCTCTCGTCGCATTGATACTGCGTATGAAACACGGAGTTTTCATCTCCAAAACGCGATCATCGTTTAGCCAATACAAATTATCGTTTGCCAATGCAATGAATGGCTGACGATTTTTCCTACTGATTTTTTTCATTCCTGGATATCCCGTAAGAAAAGCAAAGGTTTCAGCCTTCATATCGCGGGTCAATCTGCCGTAAACTGCAGCAGAAGCTTCGGGGTTTTTGCTCGGAATACCGTGGTTGACAATCCATTGAATGGCTTCCGCCGAGTTGAGACTTCCGCGGTCAATAAATTCAACATGCTTGATGTGGGTCTTTATCGAAGCCTTGTAATAAAAGTGGAAATAATCATCATTGCCACAATCAAGGTCGACTATCTCACATTCGTTGAGTTGAGTCTCAATGAAATGCTCAACAGGGCCATGTTTCGATAGAGCTCCTGCGGGAAAGTTGATGCAAAGATGCGCGTGTTCCTTGATTGACATATGAAAAAACAACACAAAGTTTGGAGACATGCAGTGAATTAACTTGAGTTCATTCACTGCCTCTAATTGTTTCTGAAATGTTGTGTATTCCTCGCTAGGTCTGTCGTGAGATTCGAACACGCCCAATTTGTCGCACGAGTGAATGTGTTTGATGAAAGGAAAATGACGAACGACATCCAGATTGATCCTAGATGAAAGCCAATTCAGCTTCTGGATCTCAATTGCTTCAATTTCGTGTCGATGCCAAGGAAAGCAAATCATCTCCACGTGATGTCCAAAAACGATCGATGGTCGATTCGAAATCATCCCTTGAAATCCTTGATTAACTTTCACCAATTCAATCACATCTCCTGCATCCAATTGCTCCAAAATCTCCAACTTCAGATCGAAGCAAAGGCGTTCGATTGGAAACGTTGTCAGATTCCGCACCTCGAATGGCATCTTGATTGGCGCCTTTCTACCTGCAAATAAAAAGAATTAGTCTTTGTAAGGGGCAGCTCAATGCAATGGGTCACTTTTGGCATTTTAGTAGCAAAAGCTTGTTTTCTAAAGCGTGAATGATGAATTTCCAATAAAAGATTTGTTGAAATGCTAAAAGTGACCCATTGCACGGTCTAGTACCGAAAAAGATAGAAAATGGAAGAAATAGAAATCGAAACATGGTCCTGAAAAACAAAATCATTTGTTCTAGTTGAATTTTAACAGAATCCCAAGTCTATCTTTTACATTATTGGGTGAAATTTGGCAGGGTTTGCTATAAAAATGTCAAGAATAGCACAAAACAGTGAAATCTAGACAAACTCATGTAAAAAAACTCATTAATATTTTAAACAAAGTGCTTTAAAAAGGGGGTCTAGTGGGTAAAAAATGATTCGTCAAATTCAAATCATTTCACATTAGGAAACGGCTTTTAGCTAAAGAAAAACGGGAAATTCTAGACAATTCTAGCACTGGAAGATTTAAACGTTTTAAAGCTTTGAGAAGTTGAAATTTTATAAATGAAAAATTTCTCCAAACTCATAAATATTTAGCTTATTGATTGGAAGCTTATGTTAATCTCGGCGGATGTCAAAAATCAAGTCAAGAAATCCTTCTGCTTGTGCTCGTGAGCGCTACAGAGCAAATTTGGAGAAATTTTTCATTCGTAAAATTTCATCTTCTCAAAGCTTTAAAACGTTTGAATCTTCCAGGTCTAGAATTGTCTAGAATTTACCATTTCTTTTAGCTAAAAGTCGTTTCTTGCAAAACGTGATAGTAATTAGGGGAAAACTTGTGCACAAAGTACTTTTGTTTAGAAATATAAAGTGGATATTCGTGAAGAAAATAAGATGGCTTTTTCATTTCTTCGGCAAACGTCGGGGATTCTCGTTTCTGCCAGAAAAGATTTTTTTTTGTTTTTTGGACCGTAGATCAATTGAAGAGCGGGTTTTCGGGAGCAATTTCAAAAAGTTTCAGGTGAAGTTCTCCCATATGTCCATGACAAAGCTCGGCTTTGCTTTTTCGATTCCAAAGCTTTCAACTAATTCCTTAACGGCTCGGCGAACTTTTGAATCTCTGCGCTGTCAATATTCAACTCTAATTTCTCAAAGTCGTCCAATTCTGAGATCAGATTCAAAATATTTGCTGTCCCGAACTCAAAATCCAACCTGAGTTCTCGGAAATGAAGTTTATTCCAAAATTTTCCGAATTTCCCGAATTGCCGCCAACTTTCTATCGGAAAGTCTTCTTGATGCCAGAATTTTATGGAAAGACGAATGGGTTGAAGTTTCGACAAAGAATTCAAAAAGATCGTTTGGAAATGAGTGGGCAAATCAGGAAGGTAAAAACTTTTCGGGATTTTTCTCGGGGTCGGCGTAAAGGTGAAATGAGATTTTATTGCCTCGAATTTGAGAAGAATGGAAGTTAAAGAAACGAGGGAAATTCGCGGCGATTCTTGAGATTCCATCTTCGATATTTTGGTGAGCATTAGTAAAATCTCGGATTTTAGGGTCTTTTGATTCAAAAAAGATCAACAATTACGAAAAATGCGGGAAAAAGTGGAGAAAATCTGGCTGATTTTGCCGTTGGCCGGGGCTCAATTGGCTGAAGTTTTAAAGCTAAGCATTAAGGTTAATCAACTGGTGATCCATCATTCCACTTTCCATTCCCAATACTTCCCACTCGACCTAAACCGATCCATGGAAGCTGAAAGTTGGAAGGATACGGACAGTGATCGACATGTTCTTGACGTTTCAAGTGTTCAAGTCTAAAATATTAGAAATCTAGAAATCATAAAGTATCTATGTGCCTTTTTACAGAGTTTTACAGAAATAACCCAAACGCTTTGGGTTATTAGTAGAACCTTGTTTGCTCATTATGAAGCCATTCTTGGGGGCAGAATTGAAATCTCGGAGTTGTTGTAGTAGTATTGGTAGTAGTAGTATTAATAGTAGTAGTAGTAGTAGTTGTTGTTGTTGTTGTCAGTGATATTGTACTTTTTGTCAGTGAAATAATGCATTTATGGCTTCATCACGGTAAAACATGAGTACATATGAGTTAAACACGCCGCCCAAAAAACATCTACACAAGTAGGATTATCCCCACACCAAAATTTACATTTATCTTATTTGTATTATACACTTATGTCTTCATCCATTCATGGTTGGCATCTTTCCAAATTGTAAATTGAAAAATTATGACCGGTAAGTGTTGTAAAGTTTTCCAGAAAGAAAAGCTCAAAGTATAGCCACGAAGCTCTCGATTTTCTTTATTCAGACTGATTATTATGGAGGAAATAGTTGGGAATCATCCGATGATTGATGCGAATGAACAAAAATCAAACATTGCGATTATTGGCTTCAGTTTGAATGCAACCAATGGATTGACGAGTTCTTTTAGACAGCTTTCTGACCAAAACTGCTAGTTAAGATATAAAATAGTCATATTGAAGAGTCTTTAGCATATTTGTGACAAAGACGCGTTCATTTTATTGGCACAAGAGCTTACATAGCACCCGAAATTCTGAAATTGGAACATTCAGATGGAATGAATTTCCGAAACGCAGAATTGAAATGAAACGCAGAATTTTATGCTGATTACGAATCGGCATTCCGTTTTTGTAGAATTCCGAATCTTTCGTATGGACAATAGGTACTCCATTTCCAATCAAACTGGAATAGTAGAATTTCATTAACAAAAGCTTTTGTTTGGAAACGGTTTCAATATGCATTGCAAAACGCATCTTGATCGGTGATATTTTAATGATTACCGGTCCGTAGTTCTCTAACGAAGGAATTTTCTCAGCTCAAAGTTGAGAATCGACTCCAGACCGAGTGCATCTTATAGAATCGGATATGGGGATCCTGAAACTGCAAAAATTAGCTGCTAATCGCATTCGAATCCAGAGAGTCTTCGAACTCAAGCCAAGAAACGTCATAGATTCCGTCAACTAGCACACTAACCACTAGACCGACGAAGCCGTTTGGAGGCTTTCTTGTGGCGGTTCCATAAAGAGTCCGAAATTTAACCGAATTTTCTATGTCAGATTCCTTGCGTTTGAGCTAGCAGCTAAGATTAAGTTAAGATTTTACATTCAAGATTTTAAGATTCTACATTCTCAATTCTCAATATCTTTTGCAGTAAGTTTGAGTCAATTGCTTTCTAGCTGCAAACTTTTGAAAATCTGATTCCTTTTATCAAAAAACATATTAGAAGATTTAGCAAAAGGACTGAAATGTTTATGTTAAAGCATTCACAAAAACGAAACTCCCTTTCAGATGAAGAATGAATCGATGTGCTCGTTGATTTGATTGGCATTCTTGACGATGTGCCTCTGAATATAACTTGTTATGATAGTGAGAAGAACATCGTGAATTTGTGAGTTTTACATGGAATTTGAGATACAGAACACATTACAATAGTTTATAAAGTAGACATGTTTGTATTTGTTTCGAAATGTGCAAAACCCTCTAATCCTGAATATGAAAAAGAGTTTAGCAATCATGTTTGGCGAGATCCAATAGACGGTTACACATTCTGGGGAATCAGCTCGATTACCCAAAAGCCGGTTGTTTTAACAGTATTATCCTGGTGATTTGGCTTTACTGCATGTTTCCCTCACAAAAAGTTCTTGGCTCTGGCTTGCCTAACAAAGCTTACGAGGGAATGTTCTCAG